TTTTTTATAATTTTAGATTACGTACCTTAAAAGGTATTTTATACTGTAATGATATGTGAAAACAGTGCGTTCTCCTCACCCGTTATTTCAGTAACTATTGGACTGTATACATCATTAAAGCCCTACTTAAAGCTTACAGAAAAATTATAACAAAAATTCTATACTTATGCAAAGAAACCAATTTCTATATAATTACCAATTTATAATTTTATATCTGACTTCTATTAATAATCTAATTATTATTTAGTTATTCTGCAGAATATCTTCACCATGACCGTGAATCTATGTAAATTGCTTATTTGGCAATCCAAAAGTGAACGAATATTTCGCGTTTATACGAAGAGAAAGTTTATAAACGATGATCAGCAAAATAGCGTGCTTCGTACTGGAGTGCTTTATTTTAGTAAAAATGCGTAGTCATGTTCTGACTTATAAGTGGCGCGGACCGGCTTAAGCATCATTCAATCATCAAATATGATAGTGATACCTGTTCTGGTTTCGTTAGTTGCTGTTTGTGTTGTGTCGTTTTTTCTTTATTTAAAATGGACTTTTTCGTATTGGTCCAAACGGAACGTCTTCACACTTCCTCCAGTTCTTCCTTTCGGGAACGCAAACAAACAATTTTACAGGAAGGCAACGTTTACAGAAGAAATAACCGAAGTGTATAAAGTTGCCAAAAAAAAGGGACTCTCGTATTGCGGTTACCATTTCTTCTTCCAGCCAACCTTTGTTCCTGTCGACGTTGATTTGGTGCGTAAAATGCTGACGGTTGATTTTCAATATTTCACTGATCGTACAATTTACGTCGACGAAGATGTTGACCCTCTGAGTGGACACTTGTTTTCTTTAAAAGGAGCCAAGTGGAAAGCCCTAAGAACCAAGTTGAGTCCCTTGTTTTCGAGCGGGAAATTGAAGATGATGTTTCAGACGCTAGTGGATTGTTCCAAGAATCTTCCTGCTGTTTTGGAAGAGGCTATAGCTTCAGACAGTCCCATTGACATAAAAGACACTTTTGCCAGATACACCACCGATGTGATTGGATCAGTTGGTTTTGGAATAGAATGTAACTGCTTAAAGAACCCGGACAACGAGTTTAGGGAATACGGGAAGAAATCAGTGGAAGTTAAAGGATTCGATGCGATTAAATTTTTATTCGCTCTCTTATCACCAAAAATACTCCAAATCACTCGAACTCCCAACACGAGAAAAGACGTGGAAAACTTTTTTTTGGGTCTCACCAAGGATACTATCGAGTACAGGGACAGAACCAACTTTGAAAGACAGGACTTCATACAACTCCTTATGAAACTGAGAAACAAAGAGATCAAAGTTGAATCTGCCACTAATAACAACAGCAAAAGTGATGGGATCGCTTACTATCAAAACGGTTTGACCATGAACGAAATTGCTGCTCAAGCATTTGTCTTCTTTGTCGCTGGATTCGAAACGTCCTCGACCACTTTGAACTTCATGATGTACGAACTGGCGACGCATCCAGAGATCCAAGACAAACTCAGGGAAGAAATTAACCAGGTCTTAGCCAAACACGACGGAAATATCACGTACGAGGCCATACAAGAAATGACCTATTTAGACATGTGTACGTTTGGTAAGTAATACTGATAACGTTTTTATAAACAAATTATTACTAAAACATATCAGTTGTTGCAATGAAATATTAATTACTTGAATAAAATAATTCGAAGTGGTCTGTATTCTGTCGAAACTGCCAGACGCGGATCGCGATTTCGATCTTTTTGGATCTCATCAGCGCGTCGCAGAGAGCTCTGATAGAACACAGACCAACTTTTACCTGCTGTCTTAACACCGCGTTTTAGAAAATACTACAAATGGCGCGGTAAACGCCATCTGTAGTACGATGCTCCAACAAGGTCCACCGGGATTCGTTTCAGAAATTAATTACTCGGTTATAATGTAGTTGTTTTATCAAAAGTTCGTTAAAATGGAATTAATCAAATATGCTTTCGGTGGTCTCATTGTTTTTATTAATTTGTAATAAGTACCTATATGATAAAGAAAGCAACAAAGAAACGGTATACGTCCTTGGTATTTTTTTACAAAAGTAAGTGAACATGAGTAGCAATATTTAATTATCAGTAGATTAAAAGATGATCGCATTTTACTTTGATGTCGTTCTGAAGGTCGTCAGTAGTGATAAAAAAAGATTTATGAATAGAAAAAGACGTTATATTTGCTTTCGTCAAAAACGTTATATCAATCACGTTTTAGTTGGTTCTTTTGAACAGTTAGGTGTAATTTACAAAATCCCTTGTAAATGTAGCAGGTATTAGGTATACCTACCCCGAACTATATAATTCTTAGTAAGTTATTTGTATATAAACTACATTCAACTTCTTTATCAAAATCACTTAATTGGGTTTTTGATGACGGATTTAAAACATTTTTACTTCAGATTATAGTAATTTTCTTTCCATTAAATTTTACAGAACTTCGTAGTTAAGAAATTGTTAAGAAGATTTAACATATTTCTCAATTTCACATCAAATTGAAAATTATTAACGATTCGCATGATGAATTAGCAATTACGATAGCTTCTGGTTGCGGTTGATTTGACAGAACCAGAGATTATTGTAATCCGATTTCACCGGAAATCTGAAATATACTCCTATTTGAGGGTAGTAATATATTAACTGAGTATCTTGATTTGTAATTTCATTTCACACATCCCGATGATTAACCATCGGATAGATGTCAATTATTATTAGATTATCCACTTCAGTTAGAAAACGATAATTTTGATGTGTTGTACAGCGTGATCCACTTTTTTATACCACATTTATATCAAAATTAATATGATATTCGAATTCAACATAATAGAATTAGTCAGATTCGAGTCTTAAAATCTATAGGAATCGACTTCACAGTCAAATTATCATTGAGTTATCTTGATGTCCCCTGGGGGTAAACTAGCCACGGAATTGAACCAGGAGAGCTTCTATGAATTTCTACAGTAATGTCAGTTAGCCCACCTTGAAGGATAAAATATGTTACACAATCCTTATCGATCATATTCCTAGTGCATTCAATTTGACTGGACCGATTTTTTGGAGCTGTCTACGACGCGCTGATGAGATCCAAAAAGATCGAAATCGCGATCCGCGTCTGGCAGTTTCGACAGAATACACACCACTTCGAATTATTTTATTCAACTTTTATTCAGTTACGTAATATTTTCCGTGTTTACTAAAACGGATTTAATATTTACAAAACAGAAATAAATCCCAAAATAATCTTAAAATACTTAATAAATAATCGAAAATATGATGTGACGTGAATGAGACCTTCGGACTGCGAAAAATATTTTTATGGACTTTATTACGCTAACATAGTAAATAAAGTATACTATATACGCATCATTATTTTTAATTGTTCTGTCCGACTACTAAATAGATTAATATTTAAAATTTGTGTCTATTTTTAGAAACTTTAAGGAAATATCCTCCGTTACCGTCACAACAAAGGGAATGCACGAGAACGTACAAAGTGCCTGATTCTGATTTAACAATTGAAAAAGGTACAGCAGTATTGATACCAATATATGCAATTCATCATGACCCCGAGATATACCCCGATCCCGAAAAGTACGACCCCGAACGATTCTCAGATGAGGTAAAAAAGAAAAGGTCACCTTTCGCGTTTCTGGCCTTTGGAGAAGGCCCCAGGATATGTATTGGTAAGAATGAAAATGTTATATTAATATAACTAACTGTTAAACAACCATCCCCATTGCTTAATTAATAATAAAAGAATAAAGAAGTTGTATGACTCCAGTAATCATTTCCCAGGTAGTTCACTAGTATTTTGAGAAATCCTAACCTCAAAACTAAGCAAAATGTATTTTTTTGGCTTTTTCCTCATTATTTTATAAAATTATCTGAATAGTTTCCTTAAATCATTGCAAATGAAGATTGGACTACCTGTTTGTTGTCTTCATGGTCTATATTTACACTAGGAAATGTTAAATTTGTTTTCTGATAAATAGTGACCTGTATTATTTGTAGTACCTTGTCTATTTTTTCTTTTTCTTAGGATAATTACCAAAAAAACGAATGCTTTTATGTAATTGTATTAATCATCATAAGGTCGTCAGTCCTAAGACTGGTTGGACACGCACATCCACTATTTCCTATCCTAAGCTAATCTTCACATTTTACTAAAACTGGAACAACCCACATCCTTAACTATTTGCGAACAGTAATCTAATCTAGGTCTACCTCTACCCGTTCTAACTTCCGTTTCTGCCTCTAATATGTCTCTGACTAGACCTTCATGCCTGAGAAGGTGTCCTACTAATCTATCTCGCCTATTTCTTATTGACCTTCATAGTCTTTTGTTTTTTTATTCTTTCTAATACCTTTTCATTTCTAACCTTCTCTATCCACGGTATCCTCATTATTCGCCTATAACATCACATTTTAAGCGCTTCTAACCTTTTCTTTTCGCCGCGCCCACTGTCCATGTTTCGCACCCGTACAGCGCCGTACTCCAAACATACACCTTTAGCAATCTTTTTCGAATTTCTAAATTAATCGTTCGCGAGCATAGAAGTGACCTCTTTTTATTTAAGGGGTCTCGACCCTGCGCTACTCTCCTTTATATCCCTACTACTCCTTCCGTTCTGACTTATTTGACTTCCCAGATACCTAAAATCAGCCATTTTTTCTAATTTTTCTTCCATATTGTACATAAAATTGTTTCATTAATTTCTTCATACATAAATGCTGAAACAGTCTTGAATTTTTGATAGTATACATGTACATAAGTATGTTAATTTTTTTTTTCTTTTCTTAGGTATGCGTCTCGGCCTCTTACAGACAAAAGTTGGACTGGTAACGATGTTGAAAGATTATAAATTTACTTTAAACCCCAAAACGCAATTGCCTATCAAATTCGAACCGTTCCAGTTTGTCATAACTGCTCAGGGAGGCATTTGGGTTGAACCGCACACAGTTTAAATTTACTTAAATTTAGCCACTTCTGTGCATTTAAAAAAGCGCTGTAATTAATTGGTACTTTTTGGTACTGTATATTAGAATAAGTTATAGTTGTAATTGTTTTATATATTTTATTGTTATTTTAATATGAATAAAAACGTGCTATATGTTTATTGTGTTAATGTTTCATTTGTTTTTAGTACAAACAAGTATTTTTTAACGAATTTAATAAGTGGGAGGTCAGATTGATAATACCAAAGCTCTGTTTTTACTTATTTGCTGTTTAGTTTCTTTCTCATTAACTGGATGGCGCTGGACAAGGGACATTTTCCGGTACTTTGTTACCGCCTTATTAGAAATAATGGTAACCGTTATAAACAAGCATAAAATTGAGTAATAATTGATCTACACTAATTGTTATCATATAATGCTACGTTTTTATTAGTTTCTCAATTTTGATATCTTGGTTTCTGTCTACCGCTTATATTTGTTTTACAAATATTTATATTTGTTGCTCCAAACTTATCATTTAAAAACCATTATCAGTTTAAAATGCATATAAATACTGTCGAACACTAGGAAATTTGTTCATTTATATTTATTAATAATTAATTAAATACTTAATTAACATTGAAATGATTGTGTTGACGTTTTTAGCTACGTTTCTCGCAATCGGTTTGGTGAGTTTTGTGATATATTTGAAATGGTCGTTCACGTATTGGATTAGGAGGAATGTTTTCACATTTCCCACTTCGCTTCCTTTCGGGAACGCTAAAGATCAGTTCCTACAAAGGGCAAGCATTGCCAAAGCCACCGTGGATATTTACAGGGAGGTCAAAGCAAGAGGATTGAGATACGGTGGTTTACACTTCATGTTTCAACCAATTTTCGTTCCTACCGATCCCATTTTGCTACGCCAGATGCTAAGCGTCGATTTCCAACATTTTACCGATCACGTGGACTACGTCAATGAATACGACGATCCGCTCACTGGAAATCTCTTCACCCTGAGAGGAGCCAAATGGAAGGCCATGAGATCGAAGATGGCATCGTTTTTTTCCAGTGGAAAGATGAAGTTGATGTTCCAAACGATGGTCGATTGTACGAAGGAACTCCCGAACGTCCTGGACGCAGCGATCCTTAAAAAGGAAGCCGTCGATGTCAAAGAAATTTTTAGCAGATATACTATAGACATAATATCGTCAGTAATTTTTGGAATTGAAGGCAATTGTCTAAAGGATTCAGACTCCGATTTTAGGAAATTCGGGAAACTTGCAGTCGCTCCAACAGGATTAGATGCCTTTAAGGTTTTCCTGATACAGATAATACCAAACATTATGGAAACGCTTAGGGTTACTGTCACTTCCAAAGACGTCGAATATTTCTTCATGAATATCGTCAAGCAAACTATTGCGTTTCGAGACGCTAACAACGTCGACAGGAAGGACTTTATGCAACTCTTTATGAAACTAAGAGACGAAGACATCAAAGCAACCACGAAAACTGATAACAACGAGTCTCGGGATGGCGAAACAGTTTATTATCAATGCGGCCTGACAGTTAACGAAATCGCTGCGCAGGCTTTTATTTTCTACGTTGCCGGGTTCGAGACATCGGCAACCACACTACAATATCTTCTTTACGAACTGACAGAGAATCAGGACATTCAGGATAAAGTTAGGGAAGAAATCGAACAGGTCTTGGGGAAACACGAGAAGAAAATAACATACGAAGCTATACAAGAAATGACTTATTTAGATAAGTGCATTTATGGTAAGCATTTGCATATGGAATTGATAAGAAGGTTATCATTATCATTCATTGCATACTGCAAGTGATAAAGTGCTTAGTTTTGTTTCATAATCATCATAAGGTCGTCAGTCTTAAGACTGGTTAGACACGCACCTCCACTCTTTCCTATCTTCGCATTTCTGTAAAATTGGAAAAAAAAAATTTTTGGGTGTTTCATTCCCACCAGCCAGCAATGCTGGTGGGCGGGCAGTCCCTCCGGACTATGCCAGAAGGTAGGGCGGAAGGCCCTCTTCAGTTTGCTTTCAGGAATCGTGGGAATGGGTGGGTGGTGGTTCGGGTGTGAAAGATGAGACGGACGAAATGATGACAGAAGAGAAAGAAAGATTATCTGTGGAATATTACTGCCTCAGCATTTGCCTAAGTAATCCAAGGAAACCACAGAAAAACTTGGACCAAGGCAGACGGACCCGGAATCGAACCGGCGTCCTCCCGAATGCTAAAGAATGGTCTAGACCTCTAGGCCATGCCGCTCGGTCGTAAAACTAGAGCAACCCATATCCTTAACTATTTGCGAACAATAATCTAATCTAGGTTTACCTCTACCCCTCCTAACTTCCGTCTCTGCTTCTAATATGCCTCTAGATCTTCATGTCTAAGAAGGTGTCCTACTAACCTATCTCTCCTATTTCTTATTGACTTCCATATAGTCCTCCGTTTTCTTATTCGTTCTCTATCCACGGTATCCTCATAATTTCCCTGTAACACTACATTTCTAACGCTTCTAACCCATATTGCACTTATTGGTGACATCTCCCGAGGTAGTCCCAGAGGAATCGAATTTGGTAGTAGTATTGTGCATCAGAGTGCCATACCGATCCTCGTCATGTCTACCACCCTAAGTACTGAAAGAGCTGCTGCCGTCTTTCAAGGACTTGTCTTAGTCTGGTTTCTCTGTAAGAACCTCCCCATTATGGTTGAACCTATGGTCCGGCTCCCTAAAATATAAACTCGCAAGCCGATACACCCACTCTAGTTTGTACAAGAGTTTCGTCAAGGTTCAAGTCTCGTTGGATCAATTAGTTTTGTTTATTAACAAATATTTTGATCAATCACAGACATCACGTAATTGCATTCTTTACATTATTACATAGCATTTACAATATCTTTGTGTATATTCATTGATTATCACTTTGCTTTCTTGAACGTTTTCAATCAATGTTTATTTATAACAGAAACTTTGAGAAAATATCCTCCGGTGCCAGCAGTAACAAGACGTTGCACTAAGGAGTACAAGGTTCCTGATTCCGATTTGACCTTAGAAAAAGGAACCGTTGCGATGCTTCCAATCTACGGAATCCATCACGACCCAGATTATTATCCCGACCCTCAAATCTTTGAGCCTGAACGATTTTCGGAGGAGAATAAGTCCGTTAGACCTCCGATGACGTTCTTAGCTTTTGGAGAAGGACCCAGAATGTGCATTGGTAAATAGTTTTTTAGACTTTAACTCATCTTAACATTTTTAACGAAATAATTCTCAAAACTAGTATAGGGTTTTGTAATTTACTAGATTTTACTTTCACTTTAGCTCGCGTTGATGTCCTAAATAGGTGTCGAAGATTATCTTCGTCCACATAAAACTAATTTCTCTATCCCTAGGGAACAGTATTTTTGCGGAAAGTCTGCACATTTTTCCACATTCATTTTTACATCTCATTCCTCATTTTTAAATCGGAAACATAAATGGCGAGACTGGGAAATAATTTCAATTTGAAAAATCAAATATTTGCATACAGGAAATTTTAAATAACAAATCAAATGTTTGGTTATTTGAATATTGGGATATATGAATTCTGCAGTTTGAAATAGTTCGAACAATTCGAATATAATTCCGATCTCTAGTAGAAGCATGAACCAAAATAGTTCTTAAAAAATGGATTGGATTTTTGTATATCATTTTTTAGTCTGAAGACCTATTTCTGATACATATTAAGCTGTCGAAATGGACAACCTATTTCGATCATGTTTCAAACATCGACTAGGAACATCATCTATTTTTGTTTTTCATATAAAACTAATTTTTGTATCCTTTTCGACAACTAATTAAAATACATTCAGAGCTACAGTTTTCTAAACCTCTCATATTAAAATACACCTATATGATATTGTAATGTTCGTGGTTTTAACAAAATTAACTTCGAAGACTGATGACGACAAAAACGGTTTATTTACACTAATTATTAAAGAACTTAAAAACACTATTAAATGAATACTAAATTTAGGTTATGAATTATTCTATTTATTTACACTACTGTTACTGCGCTATTTATTTCTGCTATCACTATCAATTTATTTCTCGATTCACTTCTGCAACAATCAATTTATTTCTACTCTCTCGGCGATCGTCTCTTCCTTTAAATACTCTTTTGTTTACTTTCTGGAACCCTCTCGAAACGTCCGGAAAAGTTTCTTTTTCTTTGAACTGTTTAACTGCTTTCCCATAACGCAGGTACGACACACACATTTACAAATACGGCGCACATGAAGAAAGGCGCCCGCGGCTAGTCGGTGAATCGATAAGCCGTTCACACACGCGTGTGCCCGATCGCACACAAACACGCTCGTGCTCGCTACAATATACATGTTATGTTATTACATAGTAAATCCTGCAGAAGTAATCGAAGTTACTTGTGCGCAGGGCCAGTTATAAAAATTAAACTTAAAATTAGAAACTGATTAATTTTATTTTTACAGGTTTAAGGCTCGGGATACTTCAGGCCAAAGTTGGCTTAGTAGCTGTGCTGAAGGACTACAAATTTACACTAAATTCAAGGACTATAACGCCATTACAGTTTGATCCCACCCAGTTTATTCTTGCGCCCGTTGGAGGAATTTGGACTGATGTCGAAAAACTTTAACCGTAAAACCCTTAGCGAAAATATGGTTTGGGTTTAATCTGCAAGGCGCTCTATGACATTGGGTATTAAGCAGGAACGGACTTCTCTACTTTTCGGAATGTTCGATGCGTGTCTGTCTGTCTGTTATGCCTATGCCCTTGTAGTTTTTATAATGTTACATTAAATGTTAGTTAAATTTTATTCAGTGTTGTGATAGACCTTTGCTTTTGCTTTCACAGCTGAGGAAGTTCTGCATCTCACTCCGCTTTTTCATTAAATGGCGAGATTGAGAAAAATTGTAATTTGAAAAATCAAATGTTGGTATACAGGAAATTTAAATACCAAATCAAAAATTTGGACATTGGAGTATGTGAATCCTTTAGTTTCGAATACTATTCCGATGTGTAGTAGAAACAAGGAGAAAATATCACCATAAAACCTCTTAAAAAATGGACAGGATGTTTGTATATCATTTTTTAACCTAATGACCCTTTTCTGATATTTTGCTTATTATTATATTAAGCTTTCGAAATGGATAACCTATTTTGGTCATGTTCCTAACACCGGCCAGCAACATCTATTTGTTTTTCTTGTTATAGATTAGTTCACTTTTCCTTTCTGTTAAGAAAAACTTCAACCGCTATGTATTCTGAATGAACAAGTGATCGCCGATGACTCCAATAAACTTTGAAGGGTCACTCAAAGAAACACAATTTGAAGACACAAGAAGTTTGACCAGTAAATTTATATTCAACAACAGTTTTTGGCTCTAGGACTTAATCCAATAGACCATTTGTTATCTAATAGAAGAAAGTAAGAGAAATTAAACAAATTGGATTTAAGTGTTGTTAAAGAATATCTAACAATTTTTAAAACACATTCAAAATTTTTACTAAAGAAAATGATTACTAGATATTAAAAAAAACTCTTTCTTAGTTCAAGTCTTAAACCGGTTATGAAATAAAGTGATGAAGGGAAGGGGGTATGCCAAGCATTATTCATTACATTGGAGAAGGGGTCAAACATTGATGAATTTTGCGTTACTTTTAATCCATTCTGGCAATCACAAACATAAAATTGAAACTATCCAAACAAATCTTACATATTCCTTTGCTCAAGAAGTCACTGATTTGGTAATTTCATTGAAATATTGTAATAAAAGCAAACAAATTTGAATAAACAAATTATTATGATAAACAAACAAACAAGATTAGATATTTAATTATAGAATAGAATTAAAGAAGCGAAGTCACAGAACATCTAAAAATATAAAAAATCGTTTTGTTTCCTAGCAAGTTCAGTGCCAGTGTCATAAAAAGATAACAGCGTATTTTAAAACCAAATACTATAAGGCTTAAATGCTAAACGTAATCGTAAAAGGGTGATATTTTCTCTGGTCTTCGTTTTATGGCAAAATGAAAGCTTAATGACATTCACTTGATACAGAACTTCGATAACTTGAAGGGAAGTTTGAATCTTTAACTTATTTACGTGGAGAGATTTTGGATTTTAGGCCGAGTCATTCTTGAAATAAAGCTTTTTAAAAAAATTTTCATTATGCATGTATATCTACCAACTCTATTTAAGATTTTTGCATTAGTTTAAGATGCTTTTAGTTATTCCTTTAAGGTGTTCTAACTTAATAAATTTGCCAACTTCTGCGAATAACATTTTGAAAGCATTTGCTACAATAACCGAAAATATTTGTTGAATATAGCAAAAAGTTAGCGCAGAATCGAGTCGTCTTCAATAAAAAGAAGTCACTTCTATGTTCGCGAACGGTTAATTTAGAAATTCGAAAAAGATTGTTAAAGGTGTATGTTTGGAGCACGGCGCAGTACGGGTGCGAAACATGGACAGTAAGCGCGGCGGAAAAGAAAAGGTTAGAAGACTTCGAATTGTGGTGTTACAGGTGAATGATGAGGACACCGTGGATAGAGAAGGTTAGAAATGAAGAGGTATTAGAAAGAGTAAGAGAATAGAGGACTCTATGGAAGTGAATAAGAAGTAAGCGAGATAGGTTGGTAGAACACCTTCTCAAGCATGAAAGTTTAGTCAGAGACATATTAAAGGCAGAAATAGGAGTTAGGAGGGGTAGATGTAGGCCTAGATTAGATTACTGTTCGCAAATATAGGGTTGTTCGGAAAGTCATTTCGTTTTTGTTTTGTGGAAATGAAAGACAGTTTTCGTATAATAAACAAATACTTTATTAAATTATATATTGACCGTTCTGGTCCAACACCTTTTGCCATCTTTCTGGTAGTAGCATAAATCCACGCTCATAAAATTTTTGGTCTTTGCTGGCAAAAAACTGATCGAGGAGGTTTTTGACCTCCTCATTTGAGGTGAAGGTTTTACCGTCTAAAAAATTTTGGAGTGACCGGAACAAATAATAATCCGATGGTGCCAGGTCTGGAGAATATGGTGGGTGTAGCATTGTATCCCATTCAAGCTGTAAAAGCTTTTGGCGAGTGACCAAACTTGTGTGAGGTCTCGCGTTGTCTTGGTGAAACACTACACCTTTCCTGTTGATTAGTTCTGACCTTTTCTGTTGAAGTGCATCATTCAGTTTGTCCAGCTGATGACAGTAGACTTCCGAATTAATCGTTGTGTTATCCGGTAAAAGCTCAAAAAAAACGATTCCTTTAAAATCCCACCAAACAGACAGCATCACCTTTTTTTGGTGAATATCGGCTTTGGAAATGGTTTGAGCCGGTTCATCTTTTTTGCTCCATGACCTCTTGCGTTTGACGTTGTTGTATACAACCCATTTTTCGTCCCCAGTGATGATGCGCTTCAAAAACGGATCATTTTCGTGACGTTTGAGAAGCGAATCGCAGACGTCAATGCGGCGACACAGATTTCTCTCTGTGAGAACATGGGGAACCCATACATCGAGCTTCGAGGATAATCCCAGGCCTTTCAAGTGGTCATAAACTGTTGAATTTGATAAATTTAACCTCAATCCGATCTCACGTGTTGTTATTCGCCGGTTCACATCAACTAATGCCTTTATCGCGTCTTTATCAGCTTCAACCGGCCTTCCCGAACGTGGTGCATCTTCGACATCAAAATTGCCGGATCGAAATTTAGCGAACCAGTTCTGGCACTGGCGTACTGTCAACACACCTTCTCCATACACATCAGTCAATTTCTTTCTGGCTTGAACAGCATTTTTACCCTTTCTGTAGTAAAACAGTAAGATATGTCGAAAATGCTGCTTATCGCTCTCCATATTTAAAAGGGCACCAACCAAAAACTACTGCGTAGAATTAATTGGAATTTTTCACACACAAGCCTTGCTATATGAGCTCTCAAAGCATATAAAAATTATACGGCTTAAATGTGAAGTTTGGTGCAAAAGAATACAATTAAATCCTCTGTCGGGAAAAAACGAAATGACTTTCCGAACAACCCTATAGTTAAAGATGTGGGTTGTCCTAGTTTTAGTGAAACGCGAAGATTAGCTCAGGGTAGGAAAGAGTGGAGGTGCGTGTCCAACCAGTCTTAGGACTGACGACCTTATGACGATAACAAAAAGCGGTGGTAGCTTTCAGTTTAATTTGTGCCACTAAGGGGTGCTTTCAGCTGTTGTTGACTACATTGATGTTAATGGTAATTTGTGTGATATTGAGGTACCGAAATTAGAAATTGATAAACAAAGACACCTCGGAGTTTTATATCTCTGATTAGAAAAAATTGTAGTTTATTCGTGTTGCGATATTCTAATATATTCTTCTCGAAATGGTGGCTGACGTAATATCCATACGTTTAATAATAATTGTTTCTCGTATTATTGCGCTTGGCTTATTAAACTTACCGAAGTGTTAAACTTTACACGTTCAGGGGATTTCCTTAGAAAATCCAGATTATCACATTCCATTAACTGCATCAGCCGGGTGAAGCGGAAAATTGAATTAAGCTAGTGGATTACAGTTGGAGTTAAAGTGCAAGAACTTTTGGTCCCCTCGAAGGGACCGTGTTCTAGAAAATAATGATTAGAGCTAATTAAACAACAATCAGAGATATGATTTATTTGAAATACTTGCATTTAAAGTATAAATACAAAACAAAAAATACCTATTTTTATATTGCATTTAAATACTTTTTTGACTAAAGCATTTTGTATTTTATTTAAAATACTTTTCCAAATGTATTTTCTATTTGTAAAATGCAAAATACATTTTTGTCGTTAAAATATTTGCTACTATCACCGATCAAACATCACATAAAATGATGAACGGATGTTGCTCACATTGGCCGTTGAAAGTATTAAAAGCTTAAAAAAGGAACAAAGAGACATTTCATGAATGCCTTCTAATTCTTTAACTGAAGAGAGCCCAAAAAATTCTAAACTTCTTGGAAATGGATAATCTAAAATATTGGATCGATATTGTTTTCCGGGTTCAAT